ATAAACTTTATCACAGTATGCACATTTTTTGAGAAGGACCTGTACATCAGTGTTTTACTATCAGTTTATTAGTCATTACAGAAATGCAGACAAAAGATGTCTAAACTGGCATTTCTGAGAGATGAGACAGAAATTATTTCATTAGATAAATAAAAAATATAGTTATTAGCCAATTACTGAGTCAGGAATATACCTACAGCCTTGTTACTGCATTACCTAAATGTGATATTTTATAACTGAAAACAAAAAAACAAACAAACAGCTATGGCTGTGCAATTTATGGTATTTGATTTTGGCTCCAACCAGTCATAAAAACAGCATAAACAACAAAATGACAATTATTAAACTTATTTGATCACCTTCTGTTCCATAAGCATTCTCTTCCTTCCTACTGACACTCCCTTCCACCCCTCTAAAAGCTCACACGTCATCTGTACTGTTTTAAAAAGTCACTGCAAGGAAAGTTTGTAGAACGAAGGTAAAACCCTGTGGCCATGTATGGCCTGTACTAAAAATTAGGCCTCCAAATTTTTGAAACATGTGAACAGGTTAGTGTCTTAGTGCCCAACAGGGGTTTGGGCTACATGATCATGTTTATATGTTTTTGGGTAGCCTTAGATACAATATGAAGTAACAGTTTGGTTCTGTTATGAGGCTTCAAAACGTAAATGGCCTGTATTTGTATAGCGTTTTCTTAGGGTTCTACAGCCCCCAAAGGCCCTCCACAACACAATCAGTCATTCACCCATTCACACCCTGGTGGGGATGAGCTGCATTGTAGCCACAGCCGCCAGGGGGCGCACTGACAGAGCTGAGGCCTGCTGAGCACTGGCACCACCGGTCCCTCCAACAACCACCACTAGGCAAGGGGGGTTAAGTGTCTTGCTCAAGGACACAACAGCAGCGCTCTCTGGTCAGAGCCAGAATCGACTGGACAACCCACTCTACTTCCTGAGCTACTGCTGTCCCATACACATACACACTTTAGTTTTGAGTGTAAACATTGTGATCTTGTTTTATCAACTAAACACAGCATTTTAGTTTCTGCTCTCACATATGTGTTTGCTTGAAGAGATTTTACACTTTTAGTGTGTTTGGGACATAGTCACGAGTCGTCCCGCTGTCATTTGGACATGTGAGTTAAAAAATGACAGCCTAAAAATCAGTTACGGCTATTACATTTAATGGCAAGCCATCATGTTTCTGTAATATCAAATCTAGAATTTTCCATTTGTGGAAGTAAAATAAAAATCTGATTATTGCACAAATCTTTGGGCAAATATGTTTCAAGTGGAAATGCACAGATTCATTGAGAGGGTTAACCCTGCACGCAGAGTTTGAATAAGAACGAGCCCTGCTCACCTGAAAGGGTGATGGGCTCCACTATTCCTCAACCTACACACCCACGGGGAGCCCAAAATTTTATAGCTTCTACCTATATTACATTAATTATACGGACTCTATAGGTGCCACTGCCAGGGATGGTTTTGAACAGAGAGCACTGATCATTGATGTGCTGCAGGCAGCTGTGTCCTGGGCATGGCCCCAGTAACATTCTCCAAAAATATAAAATGACACACAATCATTCATGTCTGCTCAAATTCTTTCTGGTACTTACTTTTAGTCAGGAATTGTCAGAACTCATCACCCCTTAGTCCAGTCACTTCACCTCACTGGTGCAGCCTTGCGTGCACTCCGCTGTTTTGCGGTCAGTAGATGCCTTTGATGTGCTTAGTTCAAAAGTAATCCCTGAGGTGAAAAAGTAGAAAGCCAGGAAACAGTTTTTCTGCAGGATTGAGAGGAGATGCAGGAAGATGAGACGGACAGGACAGGAAAATATTCAAATAAAAAACAATTAAAAAAACAAGTTTACTTTTATAAAGCAATCATTTATAAGCATGTAATATTTATATATTTTATACAATTCAGATCACTTTCAAAACGCAGTCCCACTCCCAGGGCCGTATCAAGGCATTTTGGGGGCCAAGGCAAAATAAACCCCCCCTCTCATTGGACTCCCCCGGAAGCCTCTGTAATTCGTGCCCTACGAAGATCCCGTTTCAGCTGATCCTCCCATTTTAATAATAAGCAACAATAAGGCTCAGGGGGTCAAAGGTAGCATGCCAAAAAGTCAAAGCCGTGTGTGACCTACTTTTTAAGTAAATTAGAAAGTTTTAAAATGCCAGAGAAACTTATTTTCTGAGAAACCTCATAAAAACGTCTTAATGTAAAGCCCTTCCTCCTCCAATCTTCAGTTTCCTGTGTCTGGGGCCTTCTGGTTTAAACCAACCAATTAGCAAGCAGCTCATTAGCATATTCATGTCCTGGCCAAGTGGGAGGGGTGAACAGCTCTTGTCACAATAAGGTTGATTTAGAGGGGTTTAGCTTGGATTATGCTTGTCTGCGAGGTTCGCATGGCTCCGCGCGGCAAAATTGCGTCATTTTAACAACCACGCCCCTCCACCGCGCCTCCGCACGGCCCAAATTTTCCGCACCGCGCACCTAGGAAATTTTCTAACCACGCGGACGGTCGGATGCGGAAAAACATGGCGGACTGGCAAGAACTAGTATGGCAGAGGTTCATAAATACAGACATTTGTATGATTCAGCTCTCAAAGATCACCGTGATCAACATGTTGTTAATAATTCTTGGAGAGAAATAGCTCGCACTGTCGGAAAAGACGAGGACGCTGTTAAAAGCTGGAATGCCATGTTGTAAACAGTCATTTTTACTTCTACTATGGTGTAGTGCTGGATGCATGCCGTAGAGCTCCATGCTGCCCCCTACAGTTTGGGAGAATATTGGCTCACCGCAGAGACGAGCCGCATGAACCATAAACACTGCGAGTTGTGAAGCACGTTCCATCCGCGAGCCGCATCACCGCGCGGAAAGTGAATGTGTCAAGCATAAACCAAGCTTTAGAATGGCCTGTATCAGGGCTCCTGGGACAGATGAAAGCCAAAAGAAAATTTCTTATGCTTCTTCGATTCAAAGCAGTGTTTTAGATTGCTGATCAACTGCATTCATTGTCCCCTTTAAATCAATGTTAACAAAAGTAAATACACAATCATGGACCAGATTCGAGACTAACCCCCAAATTCCACTACCTCCGCTCCGCTCCGACACGAACGCCGGAGCAAAATCGGTCCCGTTGTAGTCAATCAGAGCAATTCCACTACTGCGGCCGTCCTCCGGCAGTGCGGCGCCGTGCGCCGCCCTCTGTTCCGGTGTCCGGCAAAAATAGAATCGATCCTATTTTTGCCGGACGCCGGAGCACCTCCGCAATCAATGGACAGAAATCACAACGGCCCAACAGGAAAAGGAGCAAGCACAACTTCCGTTTTTCACAATAAATCGATAAACAAAAGGTGTTTTTTGTTTCATATGCACAGGTTTAACAACTTTTAACAACTATCAATGGCGGCTGAACTTTAAATGCCCAAAAGTAAGCCATAAATACAGTTTCCGCTATCAAAGTAGTCACACTTTGTTGATCCAAACACTGCTGATCTGTCAACACAAATGATGGGCAGATTGAACAGCTCATGTCGATGCTTCTCCCACACAACGGGTGTTTGGATCTAACTTCCGCGTTTATTGCTCGGACTGTATCGCAAGATCTTGAAAATCCCGCGCATGCTTGTTTGCCCCCCTCAGGTCTCCGCACCGGAGCGGAGCCGTTGTAGAGCGCGTACCAGTAAAAATTGAGTTCGGAAGCGAGCGGCTGCGGAAGGCGGGGGCGGACCGCAGCGGAGCGGAGCGGAGGTAGTGGAATTTGGGGGTAATGGTGGCAGGATACCTCAGAATAGTGCTACGCCCTCTGTTGTCCTGGCGGGGAATTGTTTTGCAACAATCCCCAGCTGACGGAGAAGTCTGTGACCAAAACGTTTGTCAGTGCGTGTGCGTCTCTCCCTCACGGAGCTGACGGAGAGGTAGAAATTAGGCTTTACAGTTTGCTGAGTCTTTAATGTTATTTGTCGTTAAACAGAGGAGCTTTGGTGCTGTTTTAGAGAAAGATGTTTGTTAAATCTCAGTTTTTTGGCTGTAAAACACAGGTGTTGTTGGTGAGTCTAGTGGATGTGATGAATATGTGCTTGTGCAAAAACCTGTTTCCAGGTCTATTTAGGTGAAACAAGAGGAACTGGAAGTAGGACTTCTTAGAGGGTTGAGCGTGTGCTTTGCTACTGAACACACAGCTCATTTTTTATTTTGTTTCTCCGTGGCTAAATTTACCGGTAGAGCTGTATTTCAGGCTGATCATCTCAGGATGGATGTACACAGAGAAAATGCCGCTGTCCCATTTTTCTGGTTATTGGGGTCACAATTTCTACACGAGTGGTTACCTGGAAGAAAAGTGAAAGCACCCACACCAGCTTATTTCTGAGAAACTCGGACATCAAGAAAACCTTGAAGAAGTATTTTGGCCAGTTTGAAATGTGTTGTATGTAAAAGTTCTGACTTTTATTTGTTGTATATGACTTCCTGAGTGGGCTCAGCAGAAATATTTCTGCCAACACAACCCTGGAATGTAATGAAAAGGATTTTCACAAACTGCTTGTAAAGCCTTGGTGACTTGAGCTGTTAACAGGACGTTTGAGAGGAACGCCATCCACCAGCAATCTATATTCAGCAAATAAAAAAATCAAAACCCTAGAAAAAAGAATGTTTAAGATGGCCAACCAGTCCCATGTTGGCGTGATGAGACAGCCACACAGTCAGAGAACAATGTACCTTCTTTGTAGAAGTGTTACCTGTAAAGAAAAGGAAGAACATTTTCATAACATAATCATCCATTCCTGTTTTTAAAACATTAATACTTAAAGAGACAAATACTGAAGATTGACTCTGAATAAATTAGCCAAACATAAATAGTCTGTGTGACATAAACAGTAAAGTCCATTCTCAGTGCTAAACAGGCCAGATTATAAACCTGATAATCTGCCTTTTGGAAGGAGAAACTCGCTCTGCTCAACAGTTGAAATCTCTGTTTTTGTTTAAGGCTCTGGACTACTGTCACAGCATGGGCATCATGCACAGAGACGTGAAGCCCCACAACGTGATGATCGACCACCAGCTGAGGAAGGTGCTGCTCAGTTGTTTATTTACTCCAAAAACAACACCTCAGAAACAATCATGTGCATCTGTGTGTCCATTAATGAATCTGGCACTGACAAACTTTTACATGAGTCACTGATGCCCTGTTGCATCAATAGTTCATGTTTAAGTCAAACACACCCGGTTTTTGATGGGATATAAAATGACACTAATAACTTGTGATGTTGTAGATTTTACTCGAGGGAAACATGAGAGGAACCCAGTAACATGTGTGTGTGTTCTGCCACAGCTCCGGCTCATAGATTGGGGTTTGGCTGAATTTTACCATCCCGCTCAGGAATACAACGTCAGGGTGGCCTCTCGTTATTTCAAAGGCCCCGAGCTGCTCGTGGACTATCAGGTAGATTTATTCAGACAAAAGCACAACTCTGAGTCAGGCGGTGTGAACTCTGATGTCATGTTAGGGTTCAACTGTGTTTTTCTGTTTTAGATGTATGATTATAGTTTGGACATGTGGAGTTTAGGCTGCATGTTGGCCAGCATGATTTTCCTCAAGGAGCCATTTTTCCACGGCCAAGACAACTATGATCAGGTAAGAGGTGAACAAATGATGTGTAAAGGAGGACAGATACATATTAATAAAGATGAGTTTTACTCTCTGACTAAATAACATAAAATTTAAGTTATAATGTTGACTCATTATTTGTGTCAGACAAATATAAAAAAAGATGCTTTTAATCCCAGAAGAACATTTCTTTCCTCCACATGAGTGGATGAATTAAACACGTTTTTGTTGATATTTTGTGAATGATCTCTGTCGGTGGCAGTAGAACAACACTCACAAGGTACTGCACTGTAATGTGGCTCAGTGGCGCCCCCTGCTTTGTGTCTTAAAACTAACATCACAGCAAGTAATCCAACAGAAACTGGGTTAACTCAACCTGTCCTTAAAGTTGTGGATCACTCAAATCATATTTTAATTATTTCTGATTATAATCGGTCACTCTGAGGTTCAAATGTAGGTTGAAAATGAAAATAGTCTCCTACACCTATCTGCTGCATTAGCTTCTTCTGATAGAAAATAGACAGTAAAACTCTAGGATTGGAAAAGCCTGACAGATCTACGTCGCACTGTCACTTAACATTCATGGACTCACCCATCTTGACTCACGATGGGGAAGGCTGCTGTTGGTTTAGCGTCTAGGAAACAGCAGAGAATGTATCAACTAGTAGAAACTAACTGTTAGCATTAGCAACTCCACCGCACAGAAGAACTCCCTCAAGCTGGAGGTATTTGTGGAGATAAAGCATCAATGTTGCAAAGCAATCAGTCAGTGGTTGGGTCTTTTTCTGTTAGCCAATCAGATGAGAGATGTCAGAATGTCAGGAAATGAGACTCCAAATCCTGCCATGAGGTGGCTTTCTGCTAGTTCCTGAAAAACACATCTAACCCCCCCGAGCGTCTACTGCAGTCCACTGCAAGTGTACTCATTAAATGAGTGAACCACTCTTAAATAAGTTCAGTCTCCTGATTTATAAGTGTAGTTATTAACTCTAGCTCTCTGTTCATTATAAACTAGACACATGTAACATGAAGTTCAGAGCAGCTTCTGCAGAAAGGGGTCAATCTGGGCTTAAACACCTTCAGAGCTAGCCCTCTGGCTCCAAACCCAGCTCAGCAGCAGAAACCATCTGCTGTCACACACACAAGTGCACACACACACACTTTCCAGAAGTTCTCCTTCAGCCTTGTTTCTTTATAGTTTCTTCTAACCCTCCTGTAGTGTATTCATGTGAAGCCTTTTGCTGAGTACTAAAGGTTGGTTTATGCTTGACGCGTCCGCGAGGTCCGCACGGCGTCATTTTAACAACCACGCCCCTCCACCGCGCCTCCGCACGGCCCAAAATTTCCGCAACGCGCACCTAGGAAAATTTCTAACCACGCGGACGGTCTGACGAGGAAAAACATGGCGGACTGGCAAGAACTAGTATGGTAGAGGTTCGTAAATACAGACATTTGTATGATTCAGCTCTCAAAGATCACCGTGATCAACGTGTTGTAAATAATTCTTAGAGAGAAACAGCTCGCGTTGTCGGAAAAGACGAGGACGCTGTTAAAAAATGCTGGAATGCCATGTTGTAAACAACAGTCATTTTTACTTCTACTATGGTGTAGTATTGGATGCATGCCGTAGAGCTCCATACTGCCCCCTACAGTTTGGGAGAATATTGGCTCACCGCAGAGACAAGCCGCATGAACCATAAACGCTGCGAGTTGTGAAGCGCGTTCCATCCGCGAGCCGCATCACCAAGCGGAAAGTGAATGCGTCAAGCATAAACCAAGCTTTAGTGGGGGCCTAAACTCTTGTAATGGTGTGTGTGGTGCTCCCCAGCTGGTCCGCATCGCTAAGGTCCTCGGCACTGATGAGCTGTTCAACTATCTGCACAAGTATCACATAGAACTGGACACCCGCTTCAAAGACCTGCTGGGACAGTGAGTATTCATCAGACCAGGGCTGGGGGCTCAAATGTCTCACGGGCACTTCCAGTTATTATATATTTATCATCAATTTAAAGTAGTTAAAATCCTATCTAGAGGTGGCTCATATCCTGTCATCCACAGCATTACAAGTGAGTATTTCTTGTCCAGAGAAGAAATCCATCATGTTAAGCTAAACTCATGATGCATCCTCATCTCATGCATCCTTCACTCCGGATTACGCTCCCACTATTTCGGGTAATACCCTCAGTTCATTGCTGCGGAAAAAAGGCTCAAGTGTTTTTGCTGAAAATATGTACACACACACACACACAGCCCTGAGTATCGAACGTGGAACCCAGTATTTAACCGTTCGTTAAATGAAACCTGAGTACGTTTTCTACTTGCATTTCTAAACAAAGTTTAATCTGGTCCCAAACCTCTACCTAAGGCCCGTAAACATCTGTACATTAGAGGTTTCTGTCTCAAAGGGTCGAAGCCTGAATCAGAATCTTAAGTCTAGAGCAGAACATTGAGCTAGCGGCTAATGCTAGCGGCTAGCTGCTATCATCAAGTATGGTGTTAATCTTAATGCATCGATTATTAGATTATTTTCTTCAGCTCTAGCTCTACCCCAGTTAAACCAACATGCTGCCTTAAACTTGCTCCGATTGGTTCATTGGTGTGTGTGTGTGTACCAGGCTAGCAAATTGCATGACTTGGCTGAGAAAAAAAACAAACGTGCTTGTAGATGCCTCCTGAAATAACGGCACAAACGGGTGATGGAATGCAAATGGATGGTTCAACGATCTCCGAGCTTTAGTAGATCATCACCAATGTATAATCCTCGATGTATAATCCTCGATGTATAATCCTCGATGATCTTGCATCGTCCGATCGCGCGGCCCTAGCAGTGGCCCTCCAGGGTCGGGCTGGAATCGTTCACCTCTGGACAGTTTTATCTTGTTTTCTTTTAAAACTGTTAAAAAAGATAGGATTCAGATCAGCTCACATTCAGACAGAACAGCCACGCAATCAAACCTGAGAACACACAGTTATCTTTAACACAACTGTAGTGTGTTCATGAACTCAACATGAAAGAGGAAGAAGCATGTGTGCGAGTAGAGTCGCATTGTTTACCACCTGCTGATTGTTGCATCACCTAAGAGTTCCCATATGTGAGGTAAATCAGCCAGCGAGCAGAAAGCCGTGTAAGGATGTAGTTCTCAACTTACCAGTTCTCTAACCCACAGAGATAAAACGCTTCCATCCGCACCAGCCTGTTGTTGTTCCTCATTAGGAGAGCTTCTCGTTGTGTCGGAGCCAGTCAGCACACTGAGGGAGAAATCTAATAGGACCCAATAAAAGATGTATGTTTGTTGTGTTCCTGTTTCAAGCAGCAACACCTCGAGCATTTTTTTCTTTCTGTTGGCTCTAAGTTACAAAGACATTGAAAACAAAAGGGATGACAAACAGCTGGTTTTATTTCCTTTGGCCAGAAACTACCGTCACACGTAGCAGAATGTGGCTCTGAATCTCCATCTTTACTGATTTTAAGGTGTTGTAGTCATTAACCAAAAGGTTGTGGGTTAGGGTTAGAATGATTAGGATTTTAAACTAAAAGAAGAAGAAATGTTTTTAATTAACATCTTTAGTTGAAGAGAGCGTCTTTAAGCAGCCAGCCATATTTTAAACACTTCTCATTATAATTGGAGGACTTTGATGAAGTAATTTGATGTGGTGTTTGCAGACAAACGAGGAAGCGTTGGGAGCAGTTCATCCAGTCGGAGAACCAGCATCTGGTGAGTCCAGAGGCTCTGGACCTCCTGGACAAGCTGCTGCGCTACGACCACCAGCAGAGGCTGACGGCGGCCGAGGCCATGCGACACCCATACTTCTGTCAGTACCCCCACTCTGGGGTCATTCGTTTAAACCCAACTTGTGTATTTAAAGCTGACGTCATTCATCCTAACATGCAACACATAACTAGCCTGGACAGCCACGCCTCCTTCTGGGAGCAAAGGGACTGGTAATGCTCCCACTCAAATAACCCCACCCCCTGAGCGCTGAGCAGTGTACGTCACACACCGCAACGCTCACTTTCTCATAAACAACAAAGATGGCATCTGAAGCGGAGTTTGCTGCGGCTCTTTCCTCTGTCCTAAATGACTTGGACATGTCTTTAAAACCACAAGTAGAAGCGCTAAAACTCGTCGCTAGACGCCATCTTTGACTACAGCTATAAAACTACAGCGCCACATGATACAGTCATCATTTCTGCCTTCTTCTGATTGGTTATTTTTGAGCTGGCTAGTCCCGCCCCTCATGGTGCGCTCTGCCTGAGAATCCAGACTCGTCTGCTGTGTCGAATAGACAGAGGGCGAGTCTGGCAAGCCAGGCTAACAAACAACGGTACTTTGGCTAGAAACTGACAGCCACAGAAGATGTTCTCTCAGCCCATCTTCGTTTTGCCAGAAGTCTCGGAGAGATTCAGAGAATCCCTGAATAATCGACATTTTCTCAGTAAGGGAAGAAAGCGCTGGCGGTAACTGATATTCTGCTCCATTGTTTTGATCCGGAGAGAAGAATCTCCTTTCAGTAGATACATGTCAGACATCACTGAAATGAGAGCTGGTCACAGTTGTCACGCTAGCCCCGCTGATCTCCTGCCACTGTTCTCTGTTGTCTTCTATTTGTAGAGCAGGACCAACTTTTAAACGTGTGTTTTAACATGTTTGTCTTCATACGCTTTCAGTGTTGAGATTATGTCATAAGGATTGACTGGGGCAAAAGTTTTAAAAAAAGTTTTTACAAGTGTCCCCACTCAAGTGTGTGTTTTGTTGCCAGCTGGTGTTGTTTCAGAGGATGTGATGGTATGTTTTTATCCCTCAGATCCAGTGGTGAAGGAACAGGCTAATGCCAACACAGACGGCACAAAGGCAATAAGCAGCTCCAATGCAACATGATAACCAGAGAGCAGGTAACGCCCACCTGCTGATACACACAGCTGTACACTCGCTCAGAGGAAGCTGCAGATGATGTCATCTGCTGCTTTATTTAGTAGTCAAGTCATGGTGAAAGGTTGATGTTCTTGCGTTACTTAAAATGAGACAACCTCGAATTACCACGAGATGACTTCATTACTTATTTAACTAAACTAAACCAAAATCCAGAAGCAGAGTGTGGGAAATGTAAGTTCACTTGATGATCCAACAGAGTAGAGCCACCTTTAGCTGTAAGAACTTGTAGTTTTTCCTCTGTAGAATGAATGATCAGAAATGACCTTTCCCTAATTCCATCCTGAGATGATTCCTGGGGGTTTTCCTGCTTAGCGTTGTGTTAACACACACCTGTATGCTCCAGACCAGCCAGAGCTCCAGCTTAACAGAAGAGCTGACACTGAGGAGGGTTAGATAATTAATGTTATGTAACTGGGTGATGTTTTCTTTATAAACCTTCACAGAAACTGTAATTATAATCTCATTTTTTTCCCAGTGAGTGTTGGACTCCGCCAGGGCTGCCCTTTGTCACCGGTTCTGTTCATCACTTTTATGGACAGAATTTCTAGGCGCAGCCGTGGTGTGGAGTGTGTCGAGTTTGGTGGCAGGAGAATCTCGTCTCTGCTTTTTGCGGATGATGTGGTCCTCCTAGCTTCATCCAGCTCTGACCTTCAGCTCTTGCTGGGTAGGTTCGCGGCCGAATGTGAAGCGGCTGGGATGAGGATCAGCACCTCCAAATCTGAGACCATGGTTCTCGACCGGAAAAGGGTGGCTTGCCACCTCCGGGTCGGGGGAGAGGTCCTACCTCAAGTGGAGGAGTTTAAGTATCTCGGGGTCTTGTTCACGAGTGAGGGTAGGAGGGATCGGGAGATCGACAGGCGGATTGGTTCGGCGTCTGCAGTGATGCGGACGCTGAGCCGATCTGTCGTGGGGAAGAGGGAGCTGAGCCAGAAAGCCAGGCTCTCGATTTACCGGTCGATCTACGTCCCAATCCTCACCTATGGTCATGAGCTTTGGGTAATGACCGAAAGAACAAGATCGTGAATACAAGCGGCCGAAATGAGTTTCCTCCGTAGGGTGGCCGGGCTCAGCCTTAGAGATAGGGTGAGGAGCTCGGACATTCGGGAGGGACTCGGAGTAGAACCGCTGCTCCTCCGGATCGAAAGGAGCCAGTTGAGGTGGTTTGGGCATCTGGTCAGGATGCCTCCTGGACGCCTCCCCGGGGAGGTGTTTCGGGCATGTCCTGCCGGCAGAAGGCCCCCGGGTCGACCCAGGACACGTTGGAGAGGTTACATCTCCAATCTGGTCCGGGAACGCCTTGGGGTCCTGCCGGAGGAGCTGGTGGACAAGGCCGGGGAGAGGACGGCCTGGAGCTCCCTAGTTGGGATGCTGCCCCCGCGACCCGGACCCGGATAAGCGGAGGAAGACGACGACGACATTTTTTTCACACAGTTGAGCGCTTTCCATCATATCTGAGGTTGCATTTGTCTCATTTTAGAGTTACTGTTTTATTGTATATGCAAAGTCTGAAAGAGCATGCACTTTTCCCATGACTATGACTCCGATCTTATTATTCAAGCAGTTTTTTTGTTTTGTGTTTGAGCATTACAACATTTAAAAGTTCTTACAGACTGAAGCTGAACAGCAGCATTTCTTCCTTTATAACAGCTAAATAAAGGCAGAAGAAACCTTTCACACATAAAATCGGCTGAAAACAGGCCCTAATGTCCCCTAGTGTTCAGTTTGTTTTTAGTTGCACTGGTTTATTTATTTTCAGCTCGTTTTGAAAGAATTTGAAAACTATTTTGTCTCTTCTCTTGTTTTTCTCCATTCAGGAAATTTTTTTGTTACCTCAACTTGTGACCTTTTCGTGGCAGAAACTTCTGCCTCCACATCAACAGCCATACTGGAGCGAGATGTCAGTTTTTGCAGCACACACACTCTCACACACGCAATCATGATTGGACTAAACTCCCATCAGAACCCTGGGAATCTGCGCTGCTTGGTCCGAGTCAAACAGATCCGTTCAGACATCAGGTCTGAACCCCCGCACCTGTTTTAACACAAGCTAAGGGACTGTTGTTGGATCAGTATCAAGACTTGTGATTGCTGTAAAGACATTCGTCCGTCATTACGGCGACCGGAGATCCAGTTCCAGGTTTTAGCACTGAGTGACGTGGAGGCGCTTTTCTGCTATCGATAGAACAAAAGCTATATTGAAAGAGAATAAACCGTTTTTATTTAAAGGCATGTGTTGTTTTTACTTGTTTAGAAGCTTTTACTAAACTTTTCAAGTTATGACTAAAATCCAAATATTTCAAAGATCATTGTTGGTTTTCTTAGTTAAACTTAGTGGGTCAGGTCTGATTCATGTTTACTACTGGTTAATACCCTTATTTAGCTCCACCCTCATGAGGCTAGACTGAGCTGAGTCAGTCTGCAGGTGTAACAGGAGCTTTGTCACCATGTGGAAGAAATCTGAGGAACATTGACTTTTAAACACTTATTTAAAAAAAAAAAAGAAGCAAAAATCAGTTCTAAATTTTAATGCAAAAACCGGTCCATGGTAGTAGAAGACGTTTGGTCACCATTCATAAAGAAGAAAGTGCTGAGTCACAACACAGACCACGGCACTCATTAAGTGTAGGTGTGTTTACTTTAATAAATAAAGTAGAAATTCAAGATGTTTTCCAGAACATAAAACACTTGTGCAACGTTCATGAGCTCCAAACAGCTGCATTTGTTTAGGAGGATCCGGGTCAAAGTGCTCAGAGACAGTTCTGCTCTGACTGAACCTGTAAACAGCAGAGCGAGTCTCGGTAAACCTAAATAATCTCATCAAATCATGCTTTAATTTTGACGCTCAATTGTTGTGTGAAACAACAAAAAGCAGCAGTTACACCACAGATGAGCAGAGACCCATCGAAGGCACCACCCAGTGTCTAAGTCAGCCAACCTGGCTCTTAAATATTAAAACAAAGATACTGCTGAAGCACTTTAGCTAACAGAGGCACAGTTCAGCATGTAGGCAGGTACCGCTCCTCCAGATGTGCCATCTCACTTTGATTTGTGTGTTAAACATTCAGCCGCTGCCAGGAGACCAATAAGACTGAACATTCAGATTCTAAAATCTGTTTAAAACCATCTAAAGGCTTAAATATCTAAAATAAAGGAATAAAGCCAGAAAAGTAAAATCAGTTTTTTGGGTATGCTTTTAAAGAAATTCATATTTTTTACATGTCAGTCTGAAGCTCACACTTGTTCAGCTACATATGACACGAGACTCACAAAGAAGCTGATTAAAACCCAAATGCTGAACTGTTCCCGAGTGGCTATGGCGCCTTGGGTGAGCTCCAGGAAGGGTCCTATCACAGTAGCATAGAGGGACTAAAAGTCCACCAAGGACACTGTTAAGACAACACTGCTGATTAACGTCGGAAACATTGATATCTGGTTCTGAGTCCACTGGCACTTGATATTTTTAAAGATTCATGGCCTCAGCTACAGCTTCCCCTGGATTTATTGTGTCCTTGGTGTCCTTTTTTTAAGATGCAAACAATCTAAGCCATAAAAACATTATCTAAAAAAACAAGATATAAAGCTGAAACCAGAGACATTCAGTTTGTTCTTGCAAATAAAAATAAATAACTGCATAAATAAAGCGTGACTGTGAATATGTGAGTTACGTGTGTCACGTTGGTTACACAGAGATAATATTGAGGTAACGTTATGGGGGAAGGGGTGTTAAACTGCATTAATCTGTGATAGAAGCTACACAAACATGCATGGGACAGAAGTGAGGACGTAGATCGAGGCCTTAGTGTGTGTGTGTGTGTGTGTCCCTTTTGGTGGTGTCATTCAAGTTTTACGCTCTAATAAAGCGCTGATAATACTGAAGGTAAGAACCGAGGCGCCGCTTAGGGAAGAAGCTGCTCCAGCGCAGAGTCATCCAGCTCATTCACGGCGACGATATGGTCCAGGTGCTGCAGGTACCGCACCTGGTCACGCATGAAGTGTGGGGTTCTGGTCCGGGACAGCACCGCCAGATGACGCAGTCTCTCCACATCTTCATAGGACACCTGCAGAGGTGAAGAAGAGTTCAGGTCCTGTGGAAATGTAGAAAACTGATGGGCAGATAGGGGTACACACTTCACCTTTCCTAAAGAGGTCAATAACTTGAAGTCGACGGTCCTTCGATGCCGAAGGAGCCGCAGGATCCCGTCCAGATAAACCTGATCTTTGCTGAAGCAGCCTAAAACAAAAATATACTTTATTAAAGTGACATAGAGCAGCTTCGGTCTAAACCCACTGCAGTGGTTCTGCTCTCCACTTGTGATCAGAACACGTTGGCAGCATGTGTGAGCAGAGCCTTAGTGATGAGAGTCAGCCACATCAGCAGCAGGGCGGCTGTACTCCATCAGACTCTTACCTCACTTCTGCTGGAGTTTTCATCATTTAAATAAATAACCTGCAGAATTATTTCTACACCTTATGTTTTCTGTACAATCAGGTGTATTTTTTGCCTGAATCTTCGTAGATTAAGAAACAAAAGTTTCACGGAGACAGGAGTATTTATGTGTACTGACCGGGCTGCGATGTGTCCGTTTGTCCCCTCTTGGCACGCAGACAGTATTCCCAGCGGACGTCCGGATTCTCAACGAAGCATGCAATGTGGCTGAAGAGCTGGCTGAAGCTCATGCTGGAGGCGTGGAACACCGTGTAGTAGAGCAGCGCAGCACGCCACAGATATGGCTGCTTTCTCAGCAGTACGCTGTGCAGACTGGCCAGGCCCTCCTCCGTGGGATTGGCTGGTTTCAGGCTGAACTGCTTCCTGCCGTCTGTGGTGGCCCACGGCTGCAGGTTGTTGTTCACACCTCGCAGATAATGTGTGCCTTTGGAGAAACAAGCAGAAAAGGTTCATTTAGTTTTGGTCTAAAGACCCCTTCTGAAGAATAATAAAAATGGAACCAGTGGACCCCCCATCTGGAGCCAGGCCTAGAGGTGGGGCAAGTCGGCGAGCGCCTGTTGGCCGGGATTTCACCCATTGAGCCCGGCCGGGCACAGCCCAAAGAGGAAAGATGGGTCCCCCTTCCCATGGGCTCACCACTTATGGGAGGGGCCAAAAGGGTCATGTGAAATGTGTGATGGGTGGTTGCTGAAGGCGGGGACTATGGCGGTTTAAAGTCCCACCTCTGACAGAACCTCCAAAATGTTCTGGAGGAGGCAGGGGACACTGAGCCGGGGACTTTGGATTGGGCTCTCCAATCTCTAGTGCTAATGTGGTCAAAAAGCTCCTTAGTGCCAAGGCTGCAGGGTGGATGAGGTCTGCCCAGAGTTCCTTAAGGCTCTGGATGTTGTAGGGTTGTGTTGGCCGACACGTGTGGACATCGGGGGCTGTTTCACTGGATTGGCAGATCGGGGAGGTGGTCCCCCTATTTAAAAAGGGGGACCGTAGGATTTGTTCCAACTACAGGGAGATCCCACTCCTGAGCCTCCCCGGTAAAGTCTATTCAGGGGTTCTGGGGAGGAGGGTCCGGCAGATTGTCGAACCTCAGATTCAGTGAGAGTTGGACTACGCCGTGGCTGCCCTTTGTCACAGATTCTGTTCATAACTTTTATGGACAGAATTTCTAGGTGCAGCCAAGGTGTTCAGGGAATCCGTTTTGATGGCCTAAGGATTGAGTCTATGCTTTTTGCAGATGATGTGGTCCTGTTGGCTTCATCAGAACGTGATCTTCGGCTCTCACTGGAGCAGTTCACAGCAGAGTGGGTGAAAATCCCACTTGTGTGAAAATCCGAGACCATGCTCTCGAGTTGGAATAGGGTAGAATGCCTTCTCCAGGTCAGGGATGAGGTCCTGCCCCACGTGGAGGAGTTTAAGTATCTCGGAGTCTTGTTCACAGAGGAGGGAAAGATGGAACGCAAAATCAGCAGGCGCATTGGCGCTGCATCTGCAGTGATGCAGGCATTGTACCGATCTGCCGTGGTAAAGAGAGAGCTGAGCCGGAAGGCAAAGCTCTCTCTTTACCAGTCGATCTACATTCCTACACCCACCTATGGTGATCGAAAGAATGACGTTGCGGATACAAGCGGCCAAAATGAGTTTTTTTCTGCAGGGTGGCTGGGCTCTCCCTTACCCCAAAATTCTACTATCTCCGCTCCGGCACGAACTCTGCAGCAAAATCGGTCCCGTTGTAGTCAATCAGAGCTGTTCCACTACTACGGCCGTGCGGCGCAGTGCGCCGCCCGCCGTTCTGCCATCCGGCAAAAATAGGATTGATTCTATTTTTGCTGGACGCCGGAGCAACTCCGCAGTCAATGGACAGAAATCACAATCGCCCAACAGGAAAGGGAGCAAGCACAACTTCCGTTATTTCACAATAAATCGATAAAAAAGTGTTTTTTGTTTCATATGCACAGGTTTAACAACTTTTAACAACCATCAATGGTGGCTGAACTTTAAATGCACAAAAATAAGCCATAAATACAGTTTCCACTATCAAAGCAGTCACCCTTTGTTGATCCAAACACTGCTGATCTCTCAACACAAATGATGGGCAGATTAAACAGTTCATTTCGATGCTTCTCCCACACAACGGGTGTTTGGATCTAACTTCCGCATTTATTGCTCGGACTGTATCGCAAGATCTCGAAAATCCCGCGCATGCCCGTTTGCGCACCTCAGGTCTCTGCACCGGAGCGGAGCCGTTGTAGACCGGGGATAGTATAATTTGAGTTCGGAAGCAAGCAGCAGCGGAAAGCGGGGGCGGAGCGGAGATATTGGAATTTTGGGGTAAGAGATAGGGTGAGAAGCTCTGTCATCTTGCAGGGGCTTGGAGTAGATCCGCTGCTCTTCCACATCAAGAGAAGCCAATTGAGGTGGCTCAGGCATCTGGTAAGGATGCCTCCTGGTGGTTTTCCGGGCACGTCCAACAGGAAAAAGACCTAAAAGAAGACCCAGGACACGCTGGAGAGACAATGTCTCACGGCTGCCCAGGGAACGCCTTCGGGTTCCCCCAAAGGAGCTGGGCCACGAGGCTGGGGAGAGGGAAGTCTGGGCCTCCCTGCTTAGGCTGCTGCTCCCACAACCAGACTCCGGATAATTGGCTGAAAATGAATGGATGGATGGCATCTTTCCCAGGTTTTCCTGATGTTTTTGTCTGACATCTTTATAAACAAGGCCACAGCAGTCGAGCCTGACAGCATCCAGGTCCAGCTGCCTGCTTCCGAACTAAAGGGTGTGTTGAATTTGAATGTATTTGAATTTTTACTTTGTGTATGCAAATGAAAAGATAGAAAATTTGTATCATCACAACAATCGTGTTTTAGAGAAGACTCTGTAATATTCAAGTGCATATTGTGTATCGTGTTTAACCATTAAAACTATAGCGCTGATCTCAGACCAGCTTCCTGAACACTACCTCTGTTTCTACATTTGTTTTTCTCTCATTTGTCCCATCACCTGTCAGACGAGTGAAGCAGACTGTGCTCCTATTTTTATGCTCAACAGATCTTAGTCCCTGTCCACACGTAGCCGGGGATCTGCCAAAACGTAGATATTTTCCTACGTTTTGGCCTGTCATCCACACGAAAACGGAGTTTTTTCACACGAAAACGGATCTTTTTAAAAACTCCGGCCAAAGTGAAGATCTGCGTTTTCTGCGTTTTGGGTGTCTGCGTGTGGACGGCCAAAACCGGAGTTTTAAGGTCCGCAGCGTCACTTTCCGTGACAAAGAAATGCTGACATCACGTGTGCGACCTGTGTTTACACTAGCCGGCATCATGGAAGCCCGCAGATCTGCGCTCTGTCACTACCCAATCCATCAATTGTCCAAGCGCTTTCTGCTTGTTTGTTTTTGCAAGCAGAATTACTGCTCCTTGTGGAAGACCACAGACGAAGGACGAGGTTAAGAACGGGGGAAGTACTGCCGCCTACAGGTCTGGCATGTCCTTAACAACGTATTTATCCGGGTACGTGTGGACAGAGTTTGTTTTTAAAACGCGGTGGTGTGGATGCAAGTTTTTGGAGGGGCGGATATTCGTTTTTAAAAAACCCCGGCTACGTGTGGACTAGGCCTTAGTCAGTATTTCTCAGTAACCCCTCTCAGATCACGTCTTTCCAGCTCTGTTGGATGGAGGAGTGGGACATCACAGTGGCCGACCTCCCAATGACAGCTTTTTGTTTGGGTTTTTGTTTTGTGACAAGGTAAAAAAAAAAAGTCTGTGACAACAAGTCTAGTTTAAATCCTGCTGCAACAAGACTGCAGATATTTAATGATATTGAAGATATTTAGATTTGTTCTGAGCTGATGCTTACCGATCTCGTGCCTCAGCATCCCCTCCAGCCAGTGCTGGCGAGCCCCGGCCAGGTTGATGGTGAGAGTAGGGCGACAGCTCTCCACCACCATCACAGCCTGCGACAGCAACTCGTCAGACAGACGCACGACCACCTGAGAACATAGAAACGTCGTCTTTGTGACCTCCAGAATTTGATCAATCATAAACCCAACCTTTCTGTGCAAAGTCACAGCAATAACACACTGCTCCTGTTTGGGATTCCCATATCTCCCAACAATCATAGGTTTGTACCTGGAGAATAAATAGAATACAGTTTAAGATGAGAAAAAGCAAAGCAACCAGTGGTGAATCACCTGTAGGGGGCACTACAACACCGCCCCACCATTCTCACAGAAAGAGGAAGAAGATAGGAATCACAAAATATAAAAAAAAACATGAAAACAAACTAAAAGATCTATACATCTTACAGACTATAAGTGCTTCATATAAACTACATTTACAGTGTTTGTGAAAACTTTTGAGCCATGCCTGCCAAACTGGCAGACGGAGTGTCTCACACAGGACGTTTTTGAACCACGTAGGACAATGTCCTTGTGGGCTTCAGATTTGTAGCTGTTTAACATTGGATATTATAGTGACCTCTGGCCTTTACATGTTATATATATTTATTGTGACAATCTGTTAAAATAATTTGAAAAATAAATAATAAACATCAATGTGACTTTCTGAAAAATTCAGAAAATTAGGATTACAGTCCCTCTGCTTAGAAAATAAACCTACGTAATTTATCAGGAAATTATTAGAAATCATCATATAATTATTATAATTTTTATTATGAAACACCAGAATACATATGAAAATATTTCTAAATGTTGTAATCGTTCATAAGGAGTTAATGCAAGTGATGTAGCCTAATGTTACTGTTCCTTTAAGAGATGCGTTGACTGAAGAGTGGAACTCAAAGGTTTATCTCAGCTGTTTGTTTAACTACTCTAATAAATTGCTGTTCTGAACAAAATGTCATTCTCTCTGGTGTTTTAGTTCAGCACAAATATCACAATAATAAGAAATGATCCTAAGTGAGGCACCCATCAGCTTCCTCTGGCATCGTGCGCAGATCTAATAAAATACTCTGCTGCAGAGACCAGAGACGATCTCTGATGGATTATTAAAATAAAATGTCTGTGTCATGGAATCAGAGCAAATAATCAACAGTCAATTTGTAGTTTTCAGGAGGTTTGTTTTATTTTGGCAAGACCAAAAAGGCACGTCGGCCATAATGTCTGACGATTTGAAGTTTTTTGTCGGACAATATTAAAACATGTCTTTAATGTCCGATGTGTTTTCACAAACGCTGCATTTAAGTGTACCTAAAAAATCTTGTTCACACTTTTACCACGATCAACTCGTCTTGCTACATATTTCCTGCTCCTTTTTGCTGCAGCAATCTCTACCGCAGACCTACGCTAACTGGCACGTGCACGCTGGATGCCCCCCTCCAATACAAAGAATAGGAAAGCCTTTGTCCTAAAGTTGAAGAGGTAGCAGCTGGCTGTTTCTCCTTCTCTGATACTACTGAGCCGAGAACAAGTCGAGTGTGAAGAACCTCTCCACACCAGTGGTGTTCTGTTGCTGAGTACGTGAGTGCGTGATGGTTGGAGGACACATGGAAGTGCAGTGGTTTGGCGATACCAACAATCGGTAGATCCAATAGTTGCTTTCGGTCTGACTTTGAAAAAACACTTTAAGATCTTTAGTTAAAAATCTGTACAATATACTTATAGCTATAGATAGTCTGTCAGAACACTGCTGAAAATCATGAAAAAATATTTTAATCTAACTTGTTTCCCAGATTTGCTATTGTAGCTTTAAACAAGCTGGTTAAACCCACAACCCACCTGTTAAACATGCAGCATGGAATCCTTTATGAACCACAAATAAAAACGCAAGTGTGACCTACACAGAGTTTGGCCTGCAGACATACAAACCTGCTGGTATGTAAGCATCATTTGTTTATATGATTGTTTGTGTTTCCATGCACTCACCTCTCCCACACAGCCCTCTTTCTGCAGGTATTTGCGTACCGCCGCCCACACCTGACTTTTTGGCAGCACTTTGCCGCCTGTCACCTCCTCAAAGTTCTCATAAGAACCAAACTTCCTCAGGACACATTCCATGATTCCGATTGCCTGCAGGCAAACAAAAGCTTCCAGCAACCAATCATAGTTAAATAAGTTAAGCAGGTTTGTGTGATAAATAAGGAGGAACAATCTCATTTTACATGGCCTCATTCTAAACCCATATTACAAAGCTTTATCTGACCATAATGGCCCATTTGGTTTTTTGATAGTGGGGACTGGTTGTTAGGGTGTGTGTGACTCGGACTCACCTGCTCCAGGAAGAGGCCCGAGCCCTCTTTGTACTTGTCCAACACACTTCTTGGCTCTGGCTGTGCATACTCAAACTGAGGCTCATACTTGTAGTCGGACTGGAAGAAGGCCTGCTTCTCCTGCTCCAAATTTAGAGGCCTGAGAGAAACAAGCAGACATGGCCTGGCAGCTGTAGGCAGCACTGACCCCCCCACTCCCTTAGCTATGTGAGGGAGGGAGGTGGCGGGTCGCATCTGGCCCCTGCTGGCTCGCAGCCCCAGAGGGTAATTGACAGAGCAGCTGCTTTCACTGCGTCGCATCCAGCTGCCCGCTCCCAGGCTGGGGCTGGTGAGGCTGCGAGTCGGGGGCGAGGGGGTGGCTGAGCCGCTGCGCCAGGGAGGCTGCAGGATCCTCCTGTCCACCACCTGTTCCTGAGAGCCTCGCTGGCGCTGCGGTGCCACCTCCATACTGAGGGGACGGCGGAGTGGCATCTTGGGCCTCCTTTCTACAACCGGACTGATGCTCGTCAGCCCATTGTGGGACACCCTCTCCTTCTTGGTGGCATTACTCCTCCTGGATGCTCCCTTCGTGGTAGAGCTGCTGGAGGTTTTTGGTGGACTCACTGAGACACCTGGCTCCAGCAAGTCCCTGACTCTTTCACCCTCGACCAGATCCATGAAGACTTCAGCTGAGTCCAACACCATCACCACAGTCACTGTGCGTCGGACTCAGACTCAATTCACCTGAGAGAAGAAACAGGTTATCACTCTGCTCAATAATGTATGTTTGTTAGCAATTATCTGATGAACAACTGGAACGATTTCAATGAAACAAGTGTCAAACTCAGGCCTTGACCCGCAGCCTATTTTTACTTGGCCCGTGAGATCAAATATAAAATATATATTAAAACTGGCCTGCTGGACGATTTTGCCACAGAGACAACAAATCAATGATGCTTTGTGGCGTTAGCGCATCGGTTGAAGCGCCCCCTCCTTTGTGTTTACAGTCGTTAGCATCCATGCTATTAGTATCGGCTTCAGCAGCGTTATCCTCCCTGGTCTTAAACAAACTGAAAACACTTCTTTTACTCAGCGCTGAGTTTACTCAGCAATTTGCCGACTTTAAAGCCCAGAAATGGAGATTTCACCAGCTCAGTAATCTGTTCACTGCTGACATAGAAAACTCACCAACCAACTTCCACACCAAATGATTCAACTCCAATTTAGCGACACGCTCAAGTCAAAGTGTGACTCTGTGGCTGCTGCAGCTTTTATCTTTCCTCCCCGACACACTGACGTAACTATGTGGTCAAGCTGCTCAAATGCTCTCCATGTTCAGCAGCACATACCTAAGGGAGCAACTGTTGTCTATGATGAAGATGAACAGAACAACACAGACCTTCCTCAGCTCACAGCCCAACCCCAGAGATGCAGGTGTCTGGCTTGAACAGGTGAGCATCACAGTAAATCAGAGTGCAGAAAACTGAGCTTGAATTATTGTGGTTTTTATGCACTATTTCCACTCTAAAGCATGAAAGTTAATAGGTGAGATATTACATGTTCATTTAGGAAAATTACAATATTTTTTATTTTTGTTGTTGGCCTGTGAAAAAATATTAAACAAAAAACAGGAACTGGAAAGACTACAGCTAGATGAATAGAATAGAAATAGCATAGAAAATCCCTTTATTGTCCCTCAGTGGGGAAACTTTGGTGTCACAGCAGCAATAATGATCATTACAGGAGCACAAAATGAGAATAAGAATAAAGAGTAATCAACAAGAAAACATAAAATAGGAATACTTAAAAGATTCAAAATATAAATTTTTTTGAAAATTGCCGAATATAACATTTTTATGTATAATGTTTAAAGGAATAAAATTTATTTTAAATTTAAGACATAATAGGTAACAAATACCACTGAATTGTGTTTTATTTAAAGTTGACTCACTCGAGTGTAATTTGGTTATTCCACATTCAGTGTTACTGAGGCTTGGGAAGATAACAAATTTTGCTGGACGATATATTATCCAACAAATTATTTACAATAAGCAATATTATTGTCGATATTATCGAGACCAAAATAATTTATGTAATGTTAATATAGAGCTGGGCAATAAATCAAAAGTGTATCATTATCGAAATTTCTGACTCTTATCGCGATAATTTTTCGATGTCAATAAATTTGATAATAAAAAAATGAAAAGATAGTAGTAGGTTGGCAACGTTCATGTCCCTTTAAGAAGCTGTACCACCTTGAGTCACGTAAAAATGTGACTCAACGTAATATAAATTCTATGCATCTACTGGGTCTGTTTCCACTGATAACCAAACCAACAAGAATAAAAGCACACAGTTCAACTACAATAGATAATATATTTACTAACGTTGCAAGGGAAATAGAGAGAAGTGGAATTGTAATGACAGACATCAGTGATCACCTGCCAATTTTTACAGTCTATAAAAATAATCGGATTAAATTTCAACATAAAACTTAAAGACTAATAAGAGATAGGTCACAAAACGCTATTGATGTGCTAAAAAGAGACTTGGAACAACAAAACTGGGAAACAGTTTATGTTAAAGATGTAAACATGGCTTACAACTCCTTTTTAAGAATACTGTGTAACCAATTTGATAAAAACTGTAAAACCAAAATTCAAACAAAAAGACAAGGGATGAACAATCCATGGATTACAAAAGGGCTGCAGAATGCCTGTAAGAAAAAAAATACCTTATATAGATGCTTTTTAAAGCAAAGAACAAGTGAAGCAGAAAATAGGTACAACAAATACAAGAATAAATTAGTTACAATAATAAGAAAACAAAAAAGGGATTATTATAGCAATTTATTAGACAAAAATAATAATATCAGAGTAACTTGGGGAATACTAAATAGTGTAACAAAAAGAAATAAAACAGCTTCAACTGTTCCGCAATACTTTGTAAATGGACAGTCGGAAATTAGTGAAACTAGCACAATAGCAAACGAATTTAACAGTTACTTTACTAGTGTGGGACCAAACTTAGCAAACAACATTCCTAAAAGAACTAACTATAACATCAGTGAAAAAATAACAAGTAATAAAAATAGTATACTTCTGAGTCCAGTAACTAGCCATAAAATAAGAATGTTTGCAAATAAATGCATCAATAAAAGAACTACTGACTCTAACAATCTAGACATAACATTAATAAAAAATAAAATAGAAAATATCATCCATCCCTTCACGTACATATGTAATTTATCTTTCATAACAGGGACATTTCCAGATAACATGAAAATAGCAAAAGTCATACCAATATACAAAAGTGGTGAAAAACACACCTTTTCCAATTACAGACCAATATCCTTATTGTCACAATTTTCAAAAATATTAGAAAAACTATTATTACTAGGCTAGAAGAATTCCTGACGAAAGAAAATATATTAAACAACAGTCAATGTGGTTTTAGAACTAATCATTCAACTTCCATGGCACTAATGGAACTTACAGAGGAAATATCGGAGGCCATTGACAAAGGAAATATCGGAGGCCATTGACAAAAAGAACCATTTCATAAGTATTTTTATTGATTTAAAAAAAAGTGTTTGATACAGTAGATCATGAAATTCTTCTTTAAAAACTTAGTAAATATGGTATCAAAGCAATGGCTCTAAAATGGTTAACAAGTTATTTGAATAATAGGAAACAATATGTACAAATAAATGACAATAAATCAAATCTACGTGATATTAATTGTGGGGTACCACAAGGGTCAGTACTGGGTCCGAAACTATTTATTATGTATATAAATGATATTGCCTCTATATCAAATATATTAAAATGTATTCTATTTGCAGATGACACTACCTTTTATTATGCAGGAGATAATATCAAACAGATGGTAGAAACAGTACAAACTGAGATGAAAAAAAAAATAAAATTATGGCTTGATGGGAATAAACTTATTAAACACTGATAAATCATGTTTCATGATATTTAGTAAAAGTAACTCAAATGATACAAGTCTATGAAATATAGATGATATTAATATTACAAGAGTAAAAGAAGTAAAATTTTTGGGAGTTATAATCGATGAAAATGTATCTTGGAAGCCACATATAAACAATGTGAAAACAAAAATAGCTAAAACAATTGCAATGTTACATAGAGTAAAATGGTCACTGGATGATAGCTCCCTATATTTATTATATAATTCACCTATTGTATAGAAATCTGGGGCACAACATATAGAACTTATACAAACTCCATCTATATATTGCAAAAAAAAAAGCAAGAAGAATCATTACAGAGATCCATGTAACCCGTTATTCATAAAAACAAAAACATTAAAATTCTATGACCTAGTGGATTACAATATTTCTGAATTTATGAATAATGCAAACAAAAAAACTTTCCTAAAAATTTACTTAGAAGATTTATAAAAAGACAGAGTAAATATGAACTAAAAGGACATGAATTATTTACAATACCTAAGCAAAGAATAATTATAAAGGAGTGCTGTGTCTATATATGGAGTTAAAATATGGAATAAGCTAGGTAGCAAGGATGCGAAAACAATATTTCAAAAAACTAATTAAAAATGAAATACTGGAATCTGAGATCTGCAGATCATTTGCTTTTGTGCGTCCTGAAAATGAGGTATAAATCTCGTGGAGAGCGGGCCTTTGCGTTCAATGCTCCTAAACTCTGGAATGCTCTCCCCCTTAGTGTTCGACAGGCCCCAGAACTGGGTCGATTTAAGTCGATACTAAAGGCCTTCTTCTATCATTTAACTTTTATTCAATGATCTAGTTTTCAGTGTTTTTACATTTTATTGTGGCTCTGTATTTTACTGTTGTATGTTTCTTTTACAATTTTTTTAGATTTGACCTCTTACCTCCTTTATGACTTTTATCTGTTTTTATCTTGGCGTTTGTCCTTTTTACTGTACAGCACTTTGGCCAGCTGTCATGCTGTTTTTAAATGTGCTATATAAATAAACATGGTATGGTATGTGCAAATCAATAATATAAAATAAATAAATAAATAAAGCTATAGAAGATGTGTGTAAGTATATTCATGTGTGTATGTATAAATATGTATGCATGTTTGTTTATGTGTATATGTAGTGGATATGTGAGTGTATATCTATATGTATATATGAAGTATGTGCGACCATATGGGCATGCGATGCACTTTAATGTATATATGTATGAATAGGTATATGTGCAAAAATCCTTTTGCTTTTTGAATTATTATTACTATTAATTTTTTCTTTTTTCTTTACAAATTGAACTCTAGTTAGCTAACCAGTCAAGCAATTACTTTGTATAGACTACTTTATAATTGTTATTTCAGTGTATAAATGTCATTTTAGTAAAAATGGGGCAGATAACATAAGTTTTCTTCTTTCTGTTCCCTTTTCATTTTCTTGGTTTGAGAAACCTCGTTTTATTGTCAGTATTGTTTTTTTCTATTTTAATAATAAATGAAATAAATAAACAAAACTTAAAAGGTGGTACAGCTTCTTAAAAGGGACATGAATGTTGCCAATCTACACATTTTTACATTTTTTATCATCAAATTTATTGGCATGTGAAAAATTATCTCGATAAGAGTCAGAAATTTCAAGAACGATACATTTTCGATTTATTGCTAAGCCGTTCGATCAACCAGATCCAGAGTCTAGATCACATCACAAACCAGTACCTGCATCAGTACCAGTAAAAGGCTGAATCTCCGAGAAGCTAATCTGAACAAAGAATATCCAGTTTATGCATTAAACTAAAAGAAAGGCAAGCGAGGAGGATAAGCTGGACGGTCATGATCTGATTCCCCAAGGGCTGATAAAACCACACAGACAGGATTATTATGGGACACCTTGCAAGCTCTATAATTCAGAGTTACGTTCACCAGCATCAGTTAAAATGAGAAGTCTCATATTGGTCTTATCCCTGAGATAACGAGTTAATGAGAACTGGGATCAAACAGATCAGTGTTCCAGATCTTTGGGCGTGCCAGACCAAAGAGGAAAAGGAGCAACCGATAAAGTTAAAGTCCCAAATCCCAATTCAGGAATGTGGATGAGCGTTCCTCTGTGATGGCAGCATCCTGATTCAGGAAAGTCCAGCAGATATTTTACAGCAACATCTGCTGATTACATGATGATGAGATGTCCACAGATAAGACCAAACAAAATCAGATTCTGCACACGGTACAGAGACACCAGGACGAGAAGGGGACAGGTTATGGACTGGACTGTCCCCAGTATAGGCTTTGGGAATTTAGATGATGTTTGGAATAAATATATGGCAAAGTAGGAAAATGTGTTGCAGGCTCTGGATGGAGGAACCGTTGAGAATTAATAAATGCCTTTGTTTAGGAAACAAATGGTAAAATATAGTAGACTCCTGTTGCTAAAGGGAACTTTTCCAGGTTTATTATAACTACACGAATGGTTGTGATTTGGATACTTCCGGTTGAGACGATAGGAAAAAAAAAGGAATGGTTGGATAAACTTCAATGAGATGATAAAACAAGTGGCAGCAGGTGAAACCTGCCAGTGTGACTTTAGGAGATAAATACAGAGGAATGTCTCCTGACGAAAACAAAACACCGGAAGTTAGTTTTAAAATATATATATATATTTTTTTTTTATCCAAGGAGACGATAGAAGAAACATCCAGCTGGAGCTCAGAGGGAGGCAGCGTTTACTTTTAGCGAGGACAAAACAAATCACTTCAGCTAACGTTTCCGGTGAGGAGCTTTAACTCCTCACACCGACAACAAGAAGTGGAATTAACACTCACCGAGCGGAGAGTTCCGCTCTTCTGCGGAGGAAAGGTAGCTTTTAACGGTCACTCATGGCGAAGGCGGCGCCACACTCCGGAGCGGGGCTGGGCTGGCTTCTATCGGGGAGAAGTGATGGTGATTATCGGATAACGGTTCGGGGAGGAGCGGGGCCCGAGGCGGTGGCGGCTGCCGGGGAGGCTCCGGCCACACCACGGTGGCTGAGTTGGAAGATATGACGCAGCACGCCCCGGACAACGTGTGCCATTGCGTCACTACGTACGCCATGAAGAGGGATGTACGGTCGCCCTATTCGAAAAAAATGACAAGTTTATGGAAAAGCAAAATTCACAGCATGCAGAAATCTGCTCTCATGAATAATGGAGGACGAAATTGAATCATCACTTATCTTGTGTATCGATTTAAACCACAAGGGTAAATAAAATCCCATTTTAGAAGAAGAAAATATTTCTACAGCGCCTCTCAAGAAAAAAATCACGAGGCGCTTCACAAAAACAAAAAATGTAAAAATATAAAAAAGAATTTAGAAAATGGTTAAAAATATATTTAAAATGAGCAAAAAATAGACAATTGTCATTTTAAAATATATGTTAGGAAAGAGAGAGGGAAATCAGTGGATCCTGAGGAAGGTGGAATAGGTGGGGAGAGCAGAATAAAAAGAGAGAAATCTGGAATTTCATGCTTTTCGTCCTCCCTCATCCATGAGTCTGGAATCTTGCTTCCTTTTGTTGTTGTTATCTTCTAGATTATCTAATGTAAGCTTCCAAACTGTAAAGGCTCTGATAAACAAGCACAACACCTCATAACATGTTTTTAACTGGTTGAGTAATTGAGGCCCAGAGTATAGCACATAGACAGTTAAGCCGTTAGCTGTGTAGCACATTGACCCTCCATTCTTTTTCATTATAAAACATTAAATACATGCATGTCTATGGTTTTCACACTAGAGCTGTTGGGTTTCTGGTGAATGAATTAGCCTTCCTGAGCCTGCGGAGACCCTGGCCCAATCCCAATACTTGCATTGACCTACGGTCTTCAGCAAAGTGCACTTGGATGAGGTGCACAGTTAGGCTTCAAGTGCGTAGTACACTAGTGTGCAAATAGTTGCCTGAGCACTGGGTCATCAAACGCGACGCATGCGATCGATGTTTGTGCTACTTTTTCAATCATCTTTATAAAAAATTGTCAAGCAAACAATTTCTTGACTAAATTTACATTCATTGCTGTTCACATTAAATCCACTTTATACATTTCAGTTATGGTGCCAGTTTAAGATGGAAAAGATGAGAAAGTTAAAGGTTGCATATATTGATGCATTCAGGATATTACTCAAACTTCCAAGATGTACTAGTGCGAGTCATATGTTCGCAATGTCTAATGTACCTGGATTTAACGCTGTATGGAGGAATTTCATGCACAAATTCATGTGTAGATGAACTAGCTCTGATAATGAGATACTTAAAGCATTAGCCTCTCCTGCACACGGTGACACCAGATATACATCGTGTTACTGGAAATATTGGATTAGTGCTCTCTATACATTTTAGTCTACTTGATAACTTTGAACTTTTATGTAGTTTCTTTATAGCCAATGCTATTATGTATTCTTTTTCATTCTTTTAAATTGATATATTTTTTATTGTATGCATTTTACTTTATCTGTTTATTGTTCTTGTATTTTAATCAATGTTTAAATGTTTTTGGACCGATGTGTCTGCAAAGAATTAATTCATTCAAATCTTAGTCTAAAAGATTCACAGCATGAATAAATATCATTTATCATCTTAAAATGAACCTCTTTTGTTTGAAAATGCACACTTTCAAAAAAGGCACTTGAGCTATTGTTCTATCTTCTCAAAATTCCCACGCAGCCATGGATTGCGTGTAATACCCTTCACCTTACGTCCACATCGATGCGGACTTGGGCCAAGTGCGGACCAAGGGTGCAATGGGGCGTGGACAGCTTCCGCACTTGAGGATCATGACACCTTAGGCCAGGGCTCACCAACTGCGGTCCTCGAGGGCTACCATCCTGCACATGTTAGCCGTTTTTTTGTTCCTGCACACCTGATGCACCTGATGCAAACTAATGCATTGTTAACATGCCTGTGCAGAATTAAAGTTGTAAGGAGAGGATTTACTTACTTCATTCAGATGTGGAGCAGGAAACACAGAAATCTAGCAGGATGGTAGCCCTTGAGGACTGCAGTTGGTGACATCTGCCCTACGCACTCGCACCCCTGGACTGGGATGCGTAATTGAAGGGTGCACGGGTGGAAGTGTGAGTGTTGGGATTGGGCCCCTCACTGCATCAGACCAGCAGGGTCCTGGACCAAAGTTCTGGTTGTGGTCCAGGAGAGATTCTCAAACCCTGAAATGCTTGCGTTTTTTACTTTTGCTGTTTGCAATATTTATTTATGTTTTTTCATTACAGCTGTTGAAACCTCCATTACTGGAAGGATGACCGGTTTCAACAGCTTGTGACGAAAATAATCACAAGAGAGAACTCCTGCTTCAATGGGCAGTGGTAGCGTGAGCAGTGACACCAACTAGTGCCACGTCTTCCCTTTTCTTGGGACAGTGGCGCAGCAAAACAATCAACAGGTCAGGTGTGAGAGCACAATCTAATCAACATTCAACAACAGCCACAGCGGGATGGTGTAGTCCGCGGCTATCTCATTTCATTTGGAACATAGAAGGAACTGGGTGTGGTTGGGTGAGATGGTGTGTTTGGTGCCATGAGAGGATGATCATTTATTTAGAGTGACAGTTAGTTGAATCTGCCCACCTGTTGCTGGTCGTGTGACCTGTTCTGAGTACACGTGGACCCAGACTGGGCCCCCTTCCTCCAAACGTGGGATGTAGCTACAGAAAAAGTGCAAGTTGTTAATTTTGTGATTTGTCAGTTTGAAAGTGAAAATGTTTGTCGTTACTGTCCAGCCTCTTTCTGTTGCTGACACTTTGTTGAACACGAGACTGAAGCACAAAACAGCACATGACCGCAACAAGTTTTAGTTTCCAAAAGAATAGAAGAATTTACAGGATTGTATCTCTGCGTTCAGTGATCTGATGGCCTAGAATGGGTAAATTTGTTCTGGTTTAGAGTCTCATGTGCCAGAAGACAGGAGATAAGACATTGTCCAGGCTGGGACTGGTCCTGAGATGCCTGAAGCTGATGACATCAGTCTGGTGTGTTCTAGATATGCTTATCACATCAAGCCCGAGATTGACAGTTACGTAAGGTTTGATATGAAAAGAAATGGAAGCATCAACAGGACAGAGAAGAAGATGGAAGATATTGTCCAGAAAATGTAAAATATTCAATATAAAATGAAAAATGTTCAAATATTTGGTTACATAAGGTAAAGGTGACTGACAGAAAACAGTGCTTACAGATGTTTGTGGGACAGTTTTTGCCATGAACTTGAAAAGCATGGACTTTAATTGGCTCCTCAGAACAACAAAATCCTGTTGTCAGAGAAATGAGGCAAAAAAGATCAAGGGAGTGTCGGTAGATTTAATGACAATAAAAGTTAAAGTCATTCTGATCAAAACGATGTCAACAATAAACCTTAAAGCGTTCACTGAAGGAAAAAAGTGTCTTATGGACTTTTCTTTGGAGATCAGCTATTTTTAATTTATTTTCAGTCCAGTTCATGTAACCTGAATACTTTCAGCATATTTGTTTTAAACAGCCCAGCTCATGTTGTTAATCTCCTGGTGTCTCTGTTTTATCTCAGATCAACAAACACACACAATCTAGATCTGAACTTTATGATTTCCTGATAAAAAGACTTGAATATTGTTTAGCTCTTGTTTGTAATTGGACTGAGAGGCTTCAGGATTGTAATCATTTTAATAGTTCAGCTCATTTATTTTATAAAGCACTTTAAAACACCCAGCACAGGAACAAAGTGCTGTACAGAAAATACATTAAAACAATAGAATAAACAGAAAGCAGCAAAGAGAAATAAATAAAACACAGGAGACATAAAATTAAAACAGCCCAATAATAAGAATAAAAACTAGATAAAAACAGCATTGAAACACACAAAAACAGCTAAAATAAGTCAAAACAAAAAAAAAAGTAGTAACCAACATCTCACAAGGTGTCAAAAGCAAGGGTAAAGAGGTGTGTTTTCAAGAGTGACTTAAAAACAGGTAAGGAACTGGCCTGTCTTATCTCTAAAGGAAGCTCGTTCCACAATTTAGGAGCTGCTACAGCAAAGGCGCGATCTCCTCTAAGTTTACGCCTAGTCCTGGGTACATTCAGGAGCAGCTGATCAGCTGACCTGAGAGAGCGGGAGGGTGTGTAAGGCTGTAACAGGACAGAGAGATAAGAAGGTGCAAGGCCATGGAGACATTTAAAAGCAAACAAAAGAATTTTAAAATGAATCCTAAAAGAAATGGGCAGCCAGTGAAGTGAAGCTAAAACAGGGGAAATGTGCTCAAACTTTGGAGTGCCAGTTAAAAGACGGGCTGCGGCATTTTGCACCCTCTGTAGATGACTAATATAAGATGCACTGACCCCAATATAGAGTGCGTTACAGTAATCCAGCCGAGTGGTAACAAAGGTGTGGATCACTGCAGGGCCGGAGTGGGACACATTTTCAGCCCTGGAGTTTCAGACCCCAGACCGGCCCACTTAACGAATTATTATTAAAATCATGTTAGAACTTTATATGTATAGTCTACAAAAGCACTCTACTCGGTAAAGCCTTGTAATTCAATGAAAGAAAGAGTTGCTTTACAATGTAGGTTTATTTGAACATCAGTGCACATCTCCAACATTGTTCTTTACAACACATTCTCTAACAATATAACAATCTACATTCTGTTCAAACAGCTGTTCTGAGATTTTCAAATCTTTAAAATGAAATGACTCAGCACTCCCTTTCACACTTTTTCCAGTTTCCCTAGACTCACCTGCACACAATTAAAATAATCATCTGTAAAGCTTTAGCACATTTGATATGGAAAACACATTTTTTGTAACCAATTAAAATATTTTCTATGGCAAAATATGCAGGCTTATTTCATTTTACTTTCATTCTAATAGCGATCTGTTGTGGGCTTTGTGCATTTACTAATAAAAATACATCAGGTCACTACTATTATTTGGACATTAAAATTATTATAATGAAACTGATGTTTGCACATGAGTTGGCTCACCTTCTATCCCAACAGGAGCAATACCCTCACTGCTGGCTCCTGGCTCTTCT